TTAGGGCTCAAACTCAAGTTAATATTATAATAATAATTGAGAAACATTTATGTAGTTGGATAAATATTTTTGCATTCACGTGAAAACGCAACCAACCCTTTAGATCCAACCATGCTTTCAGCTTTATCTACAGTCTCCATATAAAAATAAAACTATACTTTACAATTGAGTAAGGTTAAACTTGCCACAAGTTTATGATATTATATTTATCTACACGTTTAGTCAAACGTGTAATTTAGAGCGATGGAAACTTATCTCTACTTTGTATGAGCTAGCGTTGAGAACATAGTTATACGAAAATCGATTGCTTTGTATAATGTTGTCATACAGCTATCCGCTTAGATGAGTAACTTTCTCTGTAATCTCTTTTCTGGACAAGGTTTTAACTTAATTAGACATGCATGGGGTCATAGCCAAGAATTCTGAATCCTTTTCCTTAATGCCACTCGAATTAATTACATCTTTTGCACTATGATCAACCCGATGATTAATTGCAACTTCAGCAATTAAGTCGCTCAAATGCATAATTACTAAGTTTCTTTTTCCATAGTCCAAATTAATATGTTTAATATTTAACGTAGAGTATCTTTACAAAGAATAAGATACTAAGGATCGAATACAGAAAATATCAATTTGTTCACACGACTAGATCTGCTAAATTAAGTAAGTAGTATCCTGCATTAAACATAATGAATGCATAAAGTAGGCTAAGATTCACCAGCAGTCAAGTCTAAGAGTTTACGAGTTGACACAAGTCACAACCTATCTTGACCTTTTCATCTTTCAATACCTTTTTTGCCTTATTGCCAGGAAAACTCTATTTTTAATTTAAAAAATCGTTCAGTATAATCCGTTATTTCTTCTACCTGCTCCTTTAGAAAGTAGCTGACCTGACTTGTTTCCAGGTTTAATTTAATGTTTTTTTTAATTAGATTTCGGATATTGTTAGTACAATTCAGAAACCATATAAAAAAAAGTTTACCGATTACTTTACTTTAAAGTGCAATTTGATTAAAGCATGAGATATTAGCAGAAAAAACTACAATTAAATACAACTAGGTCAAATATACTATATGACCGATATTGAAGTAATAACTTGCTTCAACTTATGTCTTACAAGAAATAAATTCTATAAACTAACATTATAAAATATATATCATCTTAATTTGACCCAAACCAGGCTCTAATGTTCTACCTAATTAGGCTTGCGCCTTAGGCCCCACAAATATGGGGCCCCCATTTTTCAAAAATAACAGGTTTATATGTACTTTAAATAATAAAGTAATATTTAGTACTCTTAATACAAAAGTAAACTTTTCCTATAGAAAGAAAGAATATTTTTTTAAATATATAAATAAAGTAATCGTTTGACTTACTTATAAATAGGCAGAGTGAATAGTTCTCCTAAGTATGAATTTATGTTGACATTTTTCTGAATTAAAACTGTTAATGTAAGATAATATACCCTAATCGATATACTCAATTAAATAAAAATACTTGATCTTTTTCAAATGCTTATATTACCTAAGACCAACAATGTCTTAATAAAAATTTAGTGTGTTGGCTAAATTATCAATTGAAAAGGAATTATTAGAAGAAAACGATTACAAAAAAATTAATAACAATTTTGCATCTCAAAAAGTTAGAAGAATTAGACTTCAAATAAAAATATATTATAATCTTAAAAAAAAAATTAGACCTCACATTAAACTTTGATTTTATGCCACATATGTGCTTGAGCCGCCACTGAATTTTAACCTATTGTAATAAGTTGCATCCCTCACAAATTTGATAAGAAAATGGACTGGCTCATGAGATCATAAGGATTGGCAAAGACCATATAATTAAAGAGATCTCGCATGTTCAGGATATAAGACAATAATTTTAAGGCTAATTCAACCCGAGAAGCTAGAGATACATTTTTAAATTCCCAACTGAAAGCGGGATTAGATTTCAAGTTTTTCATCAAATTAAGGACCCGTTTGGCCATTAGTTTTGTCAAAATAAATTTGAAATTTATTTGGCAAACACATATTTGGCCATAGATTTTGCCCACATTTTGGCAAAATCCCAAATCCAAAATCCCTAAATCACCTCAATTGCTGATTTTGGGCCAAAACATGACTGTTATATTTTTTTAAATTTTTAAATATTACTCTAAACATTTATAGTTTGTAAAAGAGCCCACATTTATTATGACCAACTAAATATTTAATGAATATGCTCCCTTATCAGCTCAATCCTTTATGCATCTTACTTTTGCTTCTGATTTGTAGGCTAAATGACTTTCTGAATACTCATATCAGTTAACTTTTTCTTTTTAATTAGGAGCCATAATTCTCTAATGGGATTTTATTGTAATTAATGATTTATATAGTTCATTATAAAAATGATAATTTTGTACCAAACTTATTTATGTTCAGAACTATGGTTTGTGATAATGGTACCATTGGGTATTTGTGATAGTTTTTAGAACTTGTGGGATATAAGTCATGTTTTATATTTTTTCAAATAAAAAGTGAAATATGTTTTGAAAAATCATGTCCAAACACATTTTCATTTTCAAACTAAACTTCATCCAAATCAAATTTTTTAAAATAAATTTGGGACTCTATGGCCAAACGCTAGCTAAGAGTTTGTGGCATAGTTGAATGGTCTATGCACAAAAGGAAAGATGCTATGGTCACAGGAACTGTACTCTTAGCTACACTGATTCTGATGGAGATAGACAAAGAAGGAAAAGAGAGCATTGATGACTACTGGTGAATGAATGAATGAGTTTGTTTGTGTCTGATGGTTTGAGAGTGACCTTTCTGTCACCAACCATTATAACTTTTGCACTGAAAAACATGGTGTTCTTCCTTTTACATTTATATATTTCTGCAACCTAGCAGAGGGTAAAAGGACTATTCTCTCTCTCCCCCTTCTGCTTACAAATTTTATGCCATTATTTTTACACTTGTTACTCCTTCTGTTTGACTGGACATTGGACAATATATAATTCTTTTTTATATAAAGACTTTTGCTATATAGTAAAAGTACTCTTAAAGTATAAGTACTCTTAATAATTTTAAACATATCATAATATTTCGAACGGATAAGAGCATATCATGTAAATGTGTCATCATGTTCAAAACAAAGTAAAAAGAGAGGAATGTATAAAACATATAGGGGTCGTTTGGTTGGTAAAATTAGGGATAATAATTTCGAGATTAAATACAGAATTGTATTATCGCGTTTGATTACATTTTTTAATCCAGAATAATCAATCCCGAAATTAATTTATACCATAATTGTAATATAAGTTTATCCTACATTGAGCGTGGGATAATAATTTCAAGATTATTAATCCTGAAATAAAATATTACAATAAAAAAGATACTCTTTACGCTCTTTCCTCAAAGTCATTTGAAAAATAAGTTTATCCCAACTCATCTAGTATACACTAAACACATATTTTATATTATACCAAGAATATCTGATTTTTAATCTAGTGAATCAAATATCTACCAATAAAAATATTACCACTAAATAATTTCATCAATAATTAATTCTAATAGTATAATTTCAGAATAACTTATTCCCCAACTAAGCAACCCCACCGAGTAATATATATAGAGTACTTTTAAATTTATAAGCGTAATGTTAGACCAACTTAGGGAAATTTTGACTATTTCACTCGGTATCTATTACCTCACACTAATAGTAGTGCCAAACACTTTGCTCATCAAGACTTGGATTGAAAAAAACCATCTACCAGCATTGTTATCCCAGCTGAAATTCAAATCACATCTCCTATATTTTTTATCCCATATTGTTCAGTAAATAACGTACTTGAGTGCAATTTTATGCAATTATTATTATGGCAGTATCGTTATTTATTGCCTGGACAGGACGGGTTCATTACCATCCTCTGACCACCTTAGCCAACAAAGATCTTCAAATAGTCCAAACACAAAATCTAACACTACTAAAATCTGAGAGTACACCAGATAATATATTAAATTCGCTGTTTTCCCACTATTCCTTTTCTTTTTTCTTTTTTGTTTAAATTAAATAAAAAGAAGGAAATACGGCTCACTCAGCTCAATGAAATAGTTACGACAGAGATGATCAATGTCATCCTCCTTATAACACTCTCTTATAACACTCTCGTCTTTTCCGATATTTTTTTATTTTTATAATAAATGACTATTATATACCTATAATAACATTTGACGTTGAAATAGTTTTTGGCATTTATAGATAAAAATAATTCAAATATCAATTATTTTTTTCTTTTCTAATGTTACATATAAAAAATAAAATTTTTTATTCAAACTTAAAATCTCAAAAGATATGCGTATTTTACTAGTTACATATTTCACTAGTTAAATATTAAAGCTAATATATTAAAAAAATAAATTCTTTCAAGATTAATGGAAGAACTTTGTAATTGTAATTTGTTTCGCAAATTTCATTATTGGCGAAGATTCGTATCCAAATTTTCAACAAAAAGGTATCCAATAGCTCTCATTGGAAGACAATCTAAGAGCTTAACAACTAAATCTTCTATCTAAATAATTTTTGGCATTTGTCCAATGGAAAAGATATCATGTGCAAATCTTCAAATCTTATGGCTTATGCAAAATAAAAACTTTGTGTAATGGAAAAGATTGTGTGCATAATTTTAGAATTATTATTAGTAACCTTAAAGATTCTATAGGGATGTTATATATAGAGGGGTAATATTACAAAGAGCATTCTGCTATAAACGTGATTGTTGCTGTTATAGGTAAAAAAAAATATAACTTAAAAAATCCGCTCTGAGGAAAACTTGGCTTTTATAGTGAATGATTGTTATATAAAAATATTTGTTACAGAGAGGACTGACAGTACAAAAGAAGAATCAAAAGAAGAATCAAGAACCGTTCAAATTTCCATAAACCAAATGATTTCACATTATAATTACCTTGCTGAAAATTATTTCCATGATGGCTGTCACCATGCAAGAACTAGAATAAACAAATACCAAATTAATTACTCTTTTTAAACTAAACTTATATTCATACAAGAAAGAACCAAAAATGAACAAAAAGGAAAAAGGAAAAAAGAAAATAAATCAAAGTAAAGATGAAAAAAATATAACATAGCTAGAGAGAGTGGTGATGAGGAACTAACGTTGAGAAAATTTGAGATGTATAGTTTAGTCATCATTCTTGTCAACTCCATGACTTTTCTCTCTCTTCAAATTAAACCGGCATACTGAAATAGATTACACTAAGGAGCTTCAATTTAGCTGAAAGAAGGACTTCGTTAAAAAACCGAAATCTATTGGTTACATCTCGTGTTCTGTTAAACCTGAAGAAATGTGGCTCAACCCCATATCATAAGAAGGAACTATACTTGTTGTTGCTATACTTTTAGTTTGGAACTGCTGTTTGCAAGCATGACAAGTGATTTGTGAAAGAGTAGAATTAATTTGCCTGATTGCTTGCTCCTTCAAAGCTTGAGCCTTTTCTAATTCCCCTTGTGCTTGTCGTCTAATCCTCTTGGCATTGGCGAATTCTTGCTCGGCCAATTCAATTTGTCTCTTGGCTTGCTTTCTTGTTTCTTCGGCATATGCCTTTTCAGCCGTGGCCTGCCTCAACCGCTCTCGCGCTTCGTCTTTAAGCGTCAATGCAGCATCCAAATTTGGAATATTTCTCGATTTGTGCGTGTCATTTTCTGAGTCATTTTTCTCATTGAAATCGGATGAACCAATGGAGAGTTGAAGATGAGTGGAGTGACCATCGTTCGGTTTAGATGATACAGAGACATCAAAGGGGCTAGATGAAGATGTAGTAGTAGTAGTAGTCAAGAGCTGGAGCTCCAAATTGTGTTGCTTTACGTCATTCTTGAGAAATATTTTGGAACTAGTCAAAGTTTTTGGCTTATTGGATATAAGGAAACTAGGCCATGGAACTGTAGTGAGATTAGTGTCACTTGAGGGGGTGGGACTAGAAGCTGTCCGAGAAAGGCAAGCTGTTGGCTGTAAAAATTTTGAATCTGATCGGAGTCTGCTGAAGCTACAGGCATCTTGGTGCTCTATGAAGCTCTCCACCCTATAAAAGAAAGATAAAATTGAATCATTTCATGCAAATTAGGAGTATTTTCTTATTTGAAAAGTTAGCAAATTTAGGTAGTGATGATTATTCAAGGTCTGGTGAAAAAGTTAAACAAGCTAACCACTTTCACCTATGCTGCTCAAATCCTCAAAAATGTCGTGACACGAATATGATGGAATTTTTTGAGAATCTGATCAACATACTTCTTCATCAAATAGGGTACCATAACTCTATATAAAGATAAAAAATCTCCAAACTTCTGACAGGTGAAAAAGGGAAATTAATAACACATGAAGACCAAACGTTGAGAATATGGTTAAAATGGGTCTTAGAATAAATACTCCTTTAACCGAATGAAAAGGGTTCCAAAAAGAAAAGGGACGAAACCGTGCTAATATTTTACTATCTTTTGAAGTATATTGGAATTAATTAAGGAACAGATTAAATTAACAAGCAGAATAATTTCTGGAGAAGTCAATGACATTCCTTATAGAAACATGAATACACATACATGTTAATTAGTAAAGAAATAGGATTTGACGGAGAATTTTAAAGTATCAAGAATGATCTATTATATTATATTATTGAAACCTGATCGTTAGGAGACTATTTAAAGTATAACAAAAATAAATCATTAAGGCTGCTACACATTGAAGGAAACAACTTTCTCATTTTGCGCTCTTTGCTTTTTCCTTTTACACATAAACAGTGCGTTACGACTTACAAAAAATCAATTCCTAATAAAAACTTTCCAAGTCAGAAAGGTTTAACCAATATATGGGAGTAATCAATAGCAAATCTCAAGAATCATCAAAAATAGTAGAGCAAAAACTAAACAAAAAGAAAATAGTGACAGTGTAGAAATTACCTTGAGAAGACGCGGCCACAATCGCAAGAATGGCCACGAGTGCCACAGGTTTTGAGATGTGCTTTGTAATCGGACTGAACTGCATAGCCTTTGGAGCATTTGTCACAAATCCATTGCTTGTGATTACTATGTTTCCTTCTGAAGTGTTTCTTAATACCAACAAGATCACCAAGAGCATGACAAGGGTCATGATGTAGACAAGTTGGTTCTGGACACACAAAAACTCTCTTTCGAACTATTGGGGTTTCTCTTTTGAGCAATTTCCATGGTACTTTATGCCTTCTCCTATGCATCTGTAAATTTTGGTCCCTTTGAAATCCTTGGTTACAGATCTCACATACGTATTGATCTGATTCCAATAACGTTTTTGGTGATAGGGATACCACTTCTGCATCTGGATCTATATATAGCATACATAATTAACTATAGTATATGATCAAGAATAATAAATAGTAAAATATATAGAAACAAGATAAAATCTTATATCAAGATGACTAGAGACAATCTTTCTGGATAGGTCGATCGAAGCTTCCACCATAGTATAGGGGAAATAAATAGTGAAGAAGCTAAATTATGTACCTGGGGTTCCTGCTGGCCTTCTTTTTCTTCTATCACAATTATTTCCATTCTCTGAGGAAGTGAAAGGGTCGGAAGAGGAATTTGGGTTATTAATGCTTAACATGATGAATTCTTGATTACTACTTTTCTTGAGTTTTGGGGCATAGAAAATATTAATTAGTAAAAGGGCTAAGGAGAAGAGGCTGTATTAATATTAGGTTTCTTGTAAAAATGAAACTCTAGTAATTAACATGATAAACTATGGAGGAGAAAGTTTGAAGAAGGTGGGAAAAGGGAAAGAGCTAACACCATGAGGAAGATAATAAAAAGGATCTTTTTTGCTTTTAGCTTTTCATCTTCACCAGGTATTGTTGAAGGGTCACCTTTAATAAGCTCCTTCTTTGTGAAGAGATTGATAATTAAAATGTTTTCTCTTTTCTTTTTCCTTTTTAAAAAATATACTTGACATGACTAACAGTGTAAATTTTAATTTGTCTACGGTGACATATATATATTTTGCATATAATTAAAAAAAAATCATTTGTAATTGACTTTCAGATAATCTGATAGTATAAAACATTATACAGTGTATAATATTCGTCTGAGAACAATTGGACCCATACTAAGAAAAGAAAAGAAAAATAAGAAAAATGGTCAAGAAAGAAAACAAAATACATAGAGAATCACTATTTCGTGGGCACAGTAACTTTGCATGCATAAATACATGCACAACAGTGGCAGTAGATCCATATACAATAATATTAGTCTTTCCTTTTGTCAGTCTCCTAATAGTACTACTAGTATCTTTTCAATGCCTACAGTACTCTCTTTGGAATTTACAAATTAACCCCTCTTTTCATGGCTGCTAGCTATTGATGGAGGACCAGAACCTGCCCCCCGCACAACACAATCATTTGAGTTTGAAGGAAGCTGCTTTTTTAACTTCGAAATTAAGACTTTTTGGTCAAAACTGAGTTGAGAGTAACTTCTACACAAGAGAGCGTCAATAGAACAGTGAATTCGCAACACCAGAATTGTCTTTTGCAAATAACGTTTGGCGATGCACCTCTTCGCTCTGGGGCCACCCCTGTTACCTCCTCCTAACTTCTTCCCATATATTAAAAATTTAATAAATACATGACACATATCTTTACAAATATATTATTATATATTTTTATCTTAATTTATCACTTAACCATGATAAATTTATTATTTAGTGTAAACACCCGGTGCGCTGCAAGTAAATTTCTACCTATACACCAGTCTCTACAAATATCATCTCACACGAAACTATTTGAGTATTTGATCACGCCCAACTCTAGTCCTAAAAGGGATAAGCGGTCGCTGCAAATATAATCAGGTCTAAAAGTCCGGAGTCGAATCCCACAGAAAACTAAGGCTTAGCTATAGCTTTTTAATATCACTAAGAAGACAAGTTTGAACAGTTTTCTAAATTATAAAGATTGAGATTTATATTTCTAACGAATTAACTAGCAAATACTAGAAAGCGGTAAAATTATCAACTAACGAGACAAAGGGTTGGAGATTAAATTAAGGAGGTCTAGAGTTATAATTTCCCTAATTGTCGGAATCCTTCCAGCTATGTTCCCAACAATTTCGCCGATGTATTCTCTATTGATCGTGAGCACTTTAGGTGCCGTAATTCTCTCTCGAGAAACTACAATAATTTACCAGACATATTTTCTCGAACTACGCTAGTTGGCTTCATCGAACTGCTCACTATGACCACGTCAAGGCTTTGTGTGATGACCCAAAATGTCATCTTATGTTTTAGAACTCGAATCTACGCTCTTAAGTCTTAAAAATCTCATTTTTACCCTCCTCGATTTGCGTGCGCAGTCCGGGCAGGTTTCCGAAAAGCTTTTATGTTGAAAACTAATGAAAATAAGAATTTTTACCTTAAAAGTTAATTTTAGTTGACTTCGGTTAATATTTTTGGTAAATGGGCCCGAATCCATACTTTGACGGTCCCGGTAGGTCCGTATCGAATTATGGGACCTGGGCGTATACCCGAAATCGAATTCAGAGGTCCCTAGCTTGAGTTATGAATTTTTGATGAAAATTAAAAGTTTGAAAATTATTTATTTTTAAGAATTGATTGATATTTGGCATTATTAGTATCGGTTCCATATTTTGGTACCGGAGCCCGGTACAGGTTCATTATGATATTTACGACATGTCTGTGAAATTTGTGAGAAACGAAGTTGATTTGACGTGATTCAGACGTCCAGTTGAGAAAATACAAATTTTAAAGTGTTCTTGAGAATTTCATTTGATTTGGTGCTAAATTTAGAGTTCTAGGTGTTATTTTGGCGATTTGATCGAGCGAGCAGGTCCATATGATATTTTTAGACTTGCGTGCATGTTTGGTTTGGAGCCCCGAGGGCTCGGATGCCATTCGGGCGATGCGCGAGTTGAGTTCAAACCTCAACAAGGCTGCTGGTGCACCAAATCTGGTGTGCCCGCACCTGTGAGCCTTTGGTCGCAGGTGCGAGCGATAGCCCCGCAGATGCGACCCAGGCCTGGACTTTATTTTTTCGCAGATGCGGACTTTTCTCCGCAGGAGCGGGATCGCAGAAGCGGAACCCTGTCCGCAGGTACGACCCTAGTTGGCCCAGTTCTTTTCTGCAGAAGCGCACATCCCGTCCGCACGTGCGGATGCACAGGTGCGACCAAAGCACCGCAGGTGCGAAGGTCGCTGGGCAGTGATTTCATTTAATTCGGACTCCAGCCATTTTGCTTCTCGTTTTCAAAAGGATAGGAGGACTAGGGCGATTTTTCAAAGACATTTTCTTCCACAAATCATAGGTAAGTGTTCCTTAACTCGTTTCTTTCAATCTTTTACTTCATTTTACTTGAATTCAACCTAAAATTTAAAGTTTTCATGGTAAATTAGGAGTTAGGGTAGAAACTAGGTATTTCGGGAATTTGAGGATTTAGACCTCGATTTGAGATCGGATTCCAAAACTAATTACATATTGGGCTCGGGGGTGAATGGGTAAAAGGATTTTGGTCCGAACCTCGGATTTTGACCAAGCGGGCCCGGGGTCGATTTTTTTTTACTTTTTGGAGGAAAATTTTGGAATAATTTATGAAATATAATTGATTCCTTTAGCAATATTTGATATTATTTAGTTATTTTTGAATAGATACGAGTGGTTTAGAGGTGAATTCCAAGGAAAAGCTGTGATTGAGAATTAAGTGGCCTTTGGAGCGAGGTAAGTGTTGTGTCTAACTTTGGCTTGAGGGAATATGTATTGTGTGAGTATTTGCTACGTGTTTTGTCCTTGGAGACTATGATCCTTAGAGACATAGTCCTTGGAGATGATGGAGTTTTGAGGATGCAGGGTCGTATTTGTGTGCCTAATGTGGATGGACTTCGTGAGTTGATCCTTGAGGAGTCCCACAGTTCCCGGTATTCTATTTATCCGGGCGCCGCCAAGATGTATCAGGACCTGAGGCAACATTATTGGTGGAGGCGTATGAAGAAGGACATAGTTGCCTATGTAGCTCAGTGCCTAAATTTCCAGCAGGTAAAGTGTGAGCATCATAGACCTGGTGGTTTACTTCATAGGTTAGATATTCCTGAGTGGAGGTGGGAGCGTATCACTATGGATTTTGTTGTTGGACTCCCACGGACTTAGAGAAAGTTCGATGCAGTTTGGGTTATTGTGGACAGGCTGACCAACTCAGAGCATTTTATTCTTGTGGCAGTTACCTATTCCTCGGAGCGGTTGGCAGAGATTTATATTCGGGAGATCGTCCGTCTTCACGGTGTGCCCGTATCTATCATTTTTGATCGAGGTACGCAGTTTACCTCGCACTTTTGGAGGGCAGTACAATGTGAGTTGGGTACGCGGGTTGAGTTGAGCATAATATTTTATCCTCAGACGGACGGGCAATCTGAGTGTACTATTCAGATCTTGGAGGATATGCTACACGCTTATGTTATAGACTTCGGAGGATCCTGGGATCAGTTCTTGTCCCTTGCAGAGTTCGCCTACAACAACAGCTACCAGTCGAGCATTCAGATGGCTCCCTATGAGGCATTGTATGGTAGACGGTGTCGGTTGCCAGTTGGGTGGTTCGAGCCGGGAGAGGCTCAGTTGTTGGGCACAGACTTAGTACAGGATGCCTTGGATAAGGTCAAGATTATTCAGGATCGACTTCGCACAGCTCAGTCCAGGCAGAAGAGTTATGCCGACCGTAGAGTTCGTGATGTTGTATTCATGGTCGGAAAGAGAGAGTGTTACTTCGGGTATCACCCATGAAGTTGTATTCATGGTCCAAAATTAATTACATATTCGGGCTTGGGGTTGAATGGATAAAAGGATTTTGGTCCGAACCTCGGGTTTTGACCAAGCGGTGCCGGAGTCGATTGTTTTCGACTTTTTGGAGAAAAATTTTAGAAATTTAATTTATGATATATAATTGATTCCTTTAGCAATATTTGATATTATTGAGTCATTTTTGAATAGATACGAGTAGTTTAGAGGTGAATTCCAAAGGAAAAGTTCTGATTGAGAATTAAGTGGCCTTCGGAGCGAGGTAAGTGTTGTGTCTAACTTTGGCTTGAGGGAATAGGTATTGTGTGAGTATTTGCTACATGTTTTGTTGTTGAATACGATGTATAATTGAGATGACGAACATCTATACGTTGTGGTCGAGTCATAACATGCAAGTAAAATTCCATTTCTTGCAAATTTATAGTCTTAAATCTTATTATCCATGCTTATTGTTGTTGTTAAAATGTTGGGAGACTTGTATCCGGTTCCACCAAGGTCGATAAAATTGTGAATATTGATTCGAGGTTGAGATGTTAAATTGTGAAAGTAATCATTGATGAAATATTGATTTCTTTGTGAAACTTCTCTCTATCCGTTGTTATTGATTCTGTGAATTGTGAGGAAGAGTGTAAAGCATGAAGGGTGATGCCGTGCATGATTTATTTATATTGTGAGGAAGATTGTAAAGCACGAAGGGTGATGCCGTGCATGATTTATTTATATTGTGAGGAAGAGTGTAAAGCACGAAGGGTGATGCCGTGCATGGATTATTTATATTGTGAGGAAGAGAGTAAAAGCACAAAGGGTGATGTCATGCAGTCTTATTTGTTACTTGGTGAGGTTGAGAGTAAAAGCACGAAGGGTGATGCCGTGCAGTTTTTCTTGTTGTCTTAATTGCTCAATTCGTTTAAGGATTTCCGGTTTAATTCTATCTTTTCATTATTCTCACTCTTTATGTTGTATTCCTCCACTGTATGTTCCTCTCCCATTATTTCTGCGTTATTTCTTTATTTACTGTTGTTGCCACTAGCATGATTATACTGTTCAGGTTATATGTGGGTGTCTTATCCTAACCTCATCACTAC